CCTTGCTTTTTTTTTTGTGGGGAGGGGAAAGAGTTAAATCTTTAAAGGAAGTGACTTCATTGGAATCATCCAAAATCATTTTTAATCTATCCATGATAAGGTCATCAAGAGATGAAGAGGGCTTCTTTTAAAAGATAAACATGCAATGAAAATACAAGTGGGCTAGCATCGTCTACCTGGCAAACATTCTCCTTGAGTGCAGCTCCTCCACCGCGTTCACCCTGCATTCTTTTAGAGGCAGGCATCCCAGGGTCTTGTTCTACACCCTCCTCAACAGTCTCCTTGGGGCTTCCGGTCGTCCTGTGTGTCATTAGTTCTCCCTTGCAGAGAAAAAATAATGTCCGAAATCTGTATTATTGATGTCTCCTCCATCTGACCCCCTCCCTCTGAGCTGCTATTTGTCTAGCCATTAAGCACTTACAGATGTTCAGCCAATCACGCGGGCGGACTGCATGCAATGTTAGTTCTAACCCTGCTGTGATTGGGCGGGTAGTGGGCGCCTCATGCCCTGCCACTAACTGCTCTGAGGCTGTTCCACTGGAACTTTTTGAGCTGTTCCATTTTAAGGTTTCACTAAGGGAGAGAAAACATTCTTAAGTTTATTTGATTATTTATTTGTCCTTCCAAGATCAGTGTTTTCCTAAATAATGCCCCCCTTGGGCATTGTATTCAAATTGTCCTGGAAAGAAACATTCTGCATCATAATGTGTGATGCTGACCTAACTTAAACTAATTCTCTTTTAAACTTAATTGGAAACTTAATCAGAGATAGCATCAATGATTGCACTGATGCTCTGCAAGGAAATCTACCTTTGTTTCCTGAAAGCCAATGTTTACAAACATTATCCAGAAATTAAGCAGGTGATGATCTCAAGAAACAGGCAAATGAAATTTTCCCCCTAACAGCAGCAGTCTCAACATTTAAAGGGCAATATTCAAGTTCATTCAGACCATGTAGTTATTTGATATTGTGCTCTCTGGTTTTAGAACAAGTTTACTTAATGATGAAACAGTTATACATTTCATCCGACAACTAGAGGATCTTTTAAAAAGGCCATACCCACAGTTCAGTATGTATTCTGACTTATTTTTACTAGGATTAGGCTCTCCTTTTTCTCCAAGATTCCTTACAGCAATTAGCCATTTCAGTTGAGTACTATCTTAAGTAAACTCAGGGAAAGGGGGAACGTGGCCTCTGCGGTGAGAAGCAGCTCATCTCTGGAAGCCCAAGGCTAAGAGCTGAGTAATACCTCTGAGCTGGGAGTCTCTTTGGATGAGTCGTCATTTCTCACTTTTTTACACTGTGCCTTGGCTGTAATATGTCTCTGACGTTTTCGCTTCCTTGGTTTATCAAATATCTTGGCAGTGCCTGTGACAGGAAAATAGATGTTACCTGCTGGCTAACCACAGACATCCAAGAACTGCTATGCTCAAATAAAGGGACTCAAAGAATTATGAAATGTTGGAGTAAAAACCAACTTTAAATCTCATTTAACTCTCCAGCTTTGTAGATTAGGAAAATAGCAGGAAAAAGAAAGGGGACTTACCCATGACTACATAACTAGTTGGGAGAATGACTACATAAATATAAATTGTGCCTCATATATATTAAAGAGTAAAAGCAATGTCAATTTAAATGATTGAAATAACAAACATTCTAGTTCCTCAAACGACTTAAATATCCTATAGATGAAGAAAAAATGCGTTTACTAGACAGGAAAAAATATTAATCCCTAATTCCAAGATTAGAGATAATAAGACACTCAGTGGGAGGCTGAGGCAGGAGGACTGCTTGAGGCCAGGAGTTCAAGACCAGACCAGCAACATAGCGAACCAGACCTCATCTCAAAAAACAAACAAACAAACAAACAAATCAACAACAACAACAAAAAAACCCCACACACTTGTTGACAAAAATTAAAAGGGCATGGTGGTGTACACCTATAGTCCCAGCTTCTTGGGAAGCTGAGGTTGGAGGTTTGCTTAAGCCCAGGAGCTTGAGGTGGCAACAAACTATGATACCCCACTGTATTCTAGTGTGGGTGAGATCCCAAGTGAGATCCTATCTCTAAAATAATAAAAATTTTAACAATTAAAAAAGAAGACATTATCACTATATGATGTAAGGATTAAGATGAAGATTTGAAATATAAAAGAGCTAGATTATAGGAGGGGAGGAAGATCTCCCCCAAGACATCCAGTGGTTTAAAGGATATTCATGTACTGGTGGTATATCACTGAATATCCAATAACATAAAATGAATGACTGTCTCATCCGGCATATTAACAACAAAAAATTCTAGTCCCCCAACCCCATTTTCCATTTATCACATTTCAACTCTTTGTTATAAAAACACAAAGAGAAATCTAAAGTGGTATTTCATAAAATATTCCAGGATATTTATGCTAGGTGTCAATATGAAGGCTGGAGTTCAGAAGACTGCTTCAGTGATCTCTTTCTTGACTAGCCAATTGAGATGGAGAAACTCTGCTATCAAAGTTGCCCACAGACTATTACTAAAAGAAGAGATAATAGGATGGTAGCAGAAAGGTTCAAACTTCTCTGGAGCTGAAAAAACTTAGACAAAATTTATAACACATAAAGTTTACATTGTAGGTTTTACAAAACACTGAAACATAAAAATATAGGAAAAGAGCTTATATTATTTTGAAAGTGGTTTATTTTAAAAGAAAGCAAACAAACTGACCAACCTATGGGATTTTAACTGCCAACAGTTAACTTAAGCATTAACTAATGCATTGCTAGAAAACATTAGAAAATTTAATAATCATGGGTCACATTAAAATTAGTGTGCATCTTAAGACCACATGAAATATAACCTTCCCATGAATACTCTTAACTAACAGACCACATCTGGTGCAGTGTACTTAAATCTGGGATAATATGTCAAGAATAACATAAAAGAATAAATGGCACTGGCAAATGAATGAACAAAGTGGTAGATGGAAGTGGCATGGAGAAAATCTGGGATGGATAACAAGACAGTGGGGTGGCAGAAAATTTGTCCAAGGCTGAATATATTTCCCTGCCCCTGCTACCTTGGATCATTTTCATGTTTCTTCTATAAATCAGGGATAATACAGATAATATGCTAACTCTTTGGAATGCTTTAGATAGATTAGAGGAAACAGTCCTACCAAAAGAACTGGTAGAGTAGATGCTATATCTATAAATATTATATCTGTTATTGAATGAAGAGCATCCCATTCCTCCTGGGGATAAAAGATCCCCAGGAGGAATCACCAAGTAAAAATTCCAGGAGACAGATTCTAACACGATACAGAAGATTCCTAAGCCCTTATGAGACAACTAAAATGGAATAGAATCAAATGTAAGCTTTTTACTTTCAAACATATTCTAATTGACCAAAGGTCATAGATGTGATAAAAGAAAATAAGACTATTTGTAAAAGACTGGCTCAGATGATTTACAATTTCCCTTTCAACCAGTTTGAAAATTACTGTCCTATAGAAATAAAAATTGAATCAAAACCAAGAAATTAATGAAGTAGTCTGAAGAGTTAGACTAGTAAGAAAATTAAAGAACTGGCCAGGCATAGTGGCTCATGCCTGTAATCCTAGCACTCTGGGAGGCCAAGGCTGGAAAATTGCTTGAGCTCAGGAATTGCAGACCAGCCTGATCAAGAGCAAGACCCCATTTCTACCAAAAATAGAACAATTAGCTGGGCATGGTGGCATGTGTCTGCAGTCCCATCTACTTGGGAGGCTGAGGCAGCAAGATTGGTAGAGCCCAGGAGTTTGAGGTTGCTCTCTAGTCTGGATGACAGAGCAAGACTGTCTCAAAAAGAAGAAAGGAAAGGAAAGGAAAATAGAAAAAGGAAAATGGAAAGGAGAGAGGAGAGGAGAGAGGAGAGGGAGAGTGGGGGGAGGGGGAGAGGGGGGGGAGGGGGGAGGGGAGAGGAAAAAGGAGAGGAAAGGAAAGAAAAATCAAAGAACTGATTTTTCCCAACACTTACTTACTCAAATATAATTACAATTTCATTTAACTGATTATAGTGTAAAGCATAAAAATGACAATAAAATTCTGTAGTGTTACATATAGTTTCAGGAAGCATATTTTGGCCAAATAGGCCTTAGAACTTGCCCCATACTGGTCTTGCTTACATACGTAATTTTTCTAGTTAATGGACAAAGTGCTTCAAAACTTACTTCTGCTTACATTTTTAAGTCTCAAAACAAAAAAATCAAATACTTACCTCCACCAAACTCTTTCAAATGAGATGTAGCACCAGATTCAGTAATGCCATTCTCCAAGTGACCAGCTTCATAACACTACAATTAATTTAAAAGAACATGGTTTGCCAGAAATAAAAAATAAACTCTCTTCTTTATATGCCAAAATCTGAATTTTCTACTGCCATAGATAAAGAATCCTGGCTGGTTGTGGCAATTAAAAGAATAGTATATTCTGCTCACTTCAGAAGCACATATACTAAAATTGGGATGATACAAAGAAGATTAGTATCATAAAAAATAGATATGTATATATATTTTTAAAGTATGATAATAGTAAAGGTTTGAAAAAAACTTCAAGGGGAAAAGGCATTAAATAAAAATATCCTCCAAAAGACTCATGCTCAGTTTTACTCCACCATACCCTTATATTTAAAATCCACCTTCCTAAAATTGTATATATAGCCATGAGATTTGACACAGATTTATTTACCTGATGAATTCTGAATTAACAGCTCTGAAACAAGAATGTGTTTCCAACTGAAGTGGTAACAACATTAATCTAAATTAAAGCAATATCAAAACTTAAAACAAAATACTCAAACATCAAGAGTCTAATCAAGAGCCTAGACATTTTATTCATCTACTACAAACACTTATGTGAATTAGTTCTATTCCAAGCAAATGTCTTCTCCTACAAGAATGATAATATTCTTCGCCATAATGATAAAACAAAATTTAGATGCCATTCTTGGTGTAGAGTTCCAAATGTTTGAAACAAAAACATGAAAATAAAAATACAGCTGTGAATTTTCAATGTTCATTACAATATATTAATAAATCAAAGAACAAAATTTTCCTCATGTTCAGTATATATCGAAAGTGTTATCACGCTAAATAAAATGAAGGGGCAAATGTTAGGTGGCCAGTTATATGGAACTCCTACACAAATCCATAAAATACATTTGCATAATTTAAGAAAAACAGCATATATATTATTTAGATAACCAATTTATACTTCGCTGAGGTAGTCACAGTGGCTCATGCCTGTAATTCCAGCACTTAAGGAGACTGAGGCAGGAGGATCATTAGAGGCCAGGATTTTGAGACCAATCTGGGCAACAGAGTGAGAACCCGATGCTTCCCTCCACCCACAGCCACCACCAAAATTCAGCGAGGCATGGTGGTGCGTGCCTGTAGTCCTAGCTACTTGGGAGGCTGAGGCAGGGGGCTTGAGCTTAGGAATTCAAAGTCATAGTGAGCTATGATGGTGCCACCACACTACAGCCTGGCAGCCTGGGCAACAGAGTGAGACCATCACTAAAAACTAAAGAAATTTGGAAAAAAATTTAAATTAAAAAAATATAGTTCATTATTTAACAGTCACTCAAAAGCTCCAGAACAAAATAATTAGAATGTTGCCACAACCACAGTCAGAGAACAATGCAGGAAATAGTCTCATTTCCAATCTCATCAATTTATAAAGTAAAATAGAAACAACAGCAGAAGAGAAATCGCACTACATGAATAAAAATCTATCTGTTCTACTCAGAAAGAAAAAGGTCACAGAACTTTGTAAGTGTCTTGTAGGATACCCGCAACTTACTTTACATTTAAAGTCTGCAGTGGCCATGCATTAAGCCAGTGTACCCTTACGACACTACCTCAGCAGATAGTCCCTCCCTCTCCAACTCACTGATTAATCCATCTACAGAGAGACTGGTCTGCCTGGTAACTCACAATCTACTCCCAAAATGGAACTAACTGAATCATGGCTTCAATGTATGGAAAATGTACTTCAGAGTAATCAGGTACTTCAGTAATCAGTACTTCAGTAATCAATAATCCACAGTGACACAGACCAGGACAGATGGCAGGACTGACTCCTAAAATGGACAAGACACTTTTGAGGAGTCTGGTGCTAGCCATCACCAATACTGATTTTTCACTTGCTTTAGTGCTTAATGTCAACCACCCTTCCAAAAGAACAAAAACTCAACAGTGACAGAGAGTTATTAAGTATATCTAAAACTTAAAAAGAGATCAGGGCCAGGTGCAATGGTTCATGCCTGTAATCCTAGCACTCGAGTTTTTTTGTTTGTCTGTTTTGGTGTTTTTGAGACAGAGTCTTGTTCTATTGCCCAGGCTACAGTGTCCTGGTGTCAGCCTAGCTCACAGCAACCTCAAACTTCTGGGCTCAAGTGATCCTCCTGCCTCAGCCTCCCAAGTAGCTGGGACTACAGGCATGCGCCACCATGCCCGGCTAATTTTTTCTCTTTTTAGTAGAGATAGGGTCTTGCACTCCTCCTCAGGTTGGTCCTGAAATCCTGACTTTAAGCCATGCTTCTACCTCAGCCTCCCAGAGTGCTAGGATTACAGGAGTGAGCCACCATGCCCAGCCAATCCTAGTACGTTGGGAGGCAGAAGTCGGAGGATCGCTTGAGGCCAGGAGTTCCAGACCAGCCTGAGCAAGAGCCCGCTTCTACAAAACCCAGAAAAATTAGCCCAGCATGGTTGTGCACACCTGTATTTCCAGCTACTTAGGAGGCTGAGGCAGCGGGATCGCCTGAGCCCAGGAGTTTGAAGTTGCTGTGAGCGAGGCTGACACCAGGACACTGTAGCCCAGGCAACAGAGTAAGACCCTGTCTTTAGAAATAAAAAAAAAAAAAAAAAAGGAAATCAGGAATATGACTGAGGAACAGGAAGAGTGGGAGAGGGAGAGAAGACATAGACATTAGGGATTTTTTTAGTAAGTGATGCTAAAACAACTGGACAGCCACATGGGGGAAAAAACTGAACTTCAAAATTCCATCTCAAAAATTCAAGATGGAACAAAGACCTTTATGTGAAACCCAGAACCACAAGCTTCTAAAAGAAATCAGAGGACTAACATCTTTGTGCCATGGAGTATATGCAAACATTTCCTAAACAACACACAAAAAGTATTAATCATATAAGAAAAAAAAATCAGTTAAGTTTAAAGTTTTCTTTGCATGAAAAGATACTTCTAAGAAAATGAATAAATAGGGAAACCTCAAACTGAGAAAAAATATTTATGGTACATGTATCCAACACAGGATTTGCAAGAAAAAAATATAAAGCACTCCTTTAAAAAAATTAAAAATGACAAAGCCAATTCAAAAATAAGTATGTTTCAACAGTAACTTCACAAAGACATAAGAATGGCCAGGAAGCACATACTATAAACATATCACTAATCATGAGAAATAAAAATTAAAACCATGTGGTATGATTTCACATCCACCAGACAACATGGACTTAAAATGACTGACAAATAAAATGTTAGTAAAGATGTGCAACAACTGGAACATGTATTGCTGGTGGATTATAAAGTGGCACAAGCATTTTGGAGTACTATTTGGCAGTTAATTGAAAACTTAAACATACATGAACCAGCAATTCCATTCCTAAGGATTTATACCAAGAGAAATAAAAATATGTCTATGCTAGCTATGGGGCTTTGAACTCCTACAAAGTTTGTGTGTTAGAAACTTAATCCCCAAGCCACCAGTGCTGAAAGGTGGGACTTTTAAGAGATGATTAGCTGATGAGTGCTTTGCCCTCACAAATGGATTAATGGCATTATTACAGGAGAAGTTTCCAGAGTTTGGTCGTCTTCCCTCTCTCAAGAACATGCTTTCTTCCCCCTTCACCTTCTGCCATGCGACTGACAAAGCAAAAAGGCCCTCACCAGATGAGGGCCCCTTAACCTTGGACTTCCAAAGCTCCAGAAGTGTGAGCAAAATAAACTTCTATTGTTTATAAATTATCCTGTCTGTGGTATTATTATAGCAGCATTAAATGCACTAAGACAATGCCTATCACAAGACTTGGAAAAATTACACCAGCCTTATGATTAATAGCCCTAAAATGAAAAAGACCCAAATGTGTACCAATAGGAGAATGGAAAAGTAAATTGTGATAAAAGTCATACAATAGTAAACTCCTCTGCAGTGAAGATGAATGACATCACTGTAGGCCTATCTCAAAAATACACGTTGTACAAAAAAAGCAAGAATAAAACAAATCAAAACAATATGATGTCTAAAAATAAGAAAAATTAATCTATGGTAACAGAAGAAAGTATTGCCTCTGCACAAGAGTGGAGAACAAGAGTGACTGAAAAGAGACACAAAAAGAACCTTCTGGGGTGACTGTAGATTATACCTAGTTTGGGTGGTAGTACCATGGTATATATATAATTGTCTAAAGCCATCAAACAGAACAATTAAAACCTATGCAGGCTTGGCACAGCGGCTCACACCTGTAATCCTAGCACTTTGGGAGGCCAAGGTGGCAGGATCCCTTGAACTCAGGAATTCAAGACCAGCCTAAGCAAGAGCCAGACCTCGTCTCTACCAAAAATAGAAAAATTAGCTGGATGTGGTGCTGTGTGCCTGTAGTCCCAGCTACTCAGGAGGCTGAGGCAAGAGGATCGCTTGAGCCCAGGAGTTTGAGGTTGCTGTGAGCTAGGCTGATGCCACTCTACTCAGGACAACAGAGTTAGACTCAGAAAAAAAACCCAAAAAACCACAAAACAAAGAACTATGTATTTTATTGGTGTAAATTATATCTCATTAAGAAAAAAAAAAAAGGAAAGTTCCACTGCCCCAAAGTTCTAAAACAATAAAAAGAAAAAGTCTAAGATTCATTTGCATATATAAATTAAAACTAAGTACATTTTTATCCCCTTAGGAAAAATATTACCCACAAACACAATAGGTCACATTTTTTATTAGAAACCTGCATTTGACAGAGAAAGGTTATACAAATGAACACAATTTTTAAAGTAATTTAGTTTCAAAACCATGGAAGATTAACCTTATTTCTTTAACTCAGTCACTTAAATGGTGTGAATTCTTTGAAATTTGTCATCACCTCATCCCCACCAATAATACGACAGCCTCCCATGACTCACTTTGTACAACACTATTAAGTTTATCATCTGATTGCCCAGTGTCACTTCTATCCTCAAAAGCAGTCAACTAAATCCTGGTTTTCCTTGCCTATTCCATCTACCTCTTCCAACAATCTTGCAAAATGGCTAAGGTTTGAACAGGACAAAACAAAAAGGGAAAGTGCAGCAGAAGAAATTTATCACGGGCTTATTAAGAGCATATGGTTCAATGAGAGAATGGTTGAGCTGAAGAGATAAGATTGTCACTGAAGGTTGTGCAAACTGCAAAGAAAGTTCAGGGGGTAGGAGATAAGCCTAAGTAAAGACTATGTCATAAGGTTATTTTGAGAAAAATAAGAGTTAAAAAGTGTGATACTGCTTAAAAATGAGTTATCAAGCACAAATACATTAAATTTTATAATTACACAAACTAGATGGGTGAGTGTCTAACAAAACCAAAAACTACAGGCCTTAAAACAAGATTAGCAAGGATAGAAGTTTGCTATCGTTAAGATCGGATAGAAGCCCCAAAACTCAAATTATTTATGATTTAATTATAATCTATTTTTTTCTATAAAAGAAAAATATTTTTGAACAGGAAATCTGTACATTCTACAATTGAATTTCTGACATTTACCCTGAGTTTCTCTTCACACATAAAGGGATCAGGAATGTTTTCTACGGAATCAGTATCTAGCCATTATCCATATAGAATTAGAAAATAATTTCCTATTTCTATACACTGTTTAATGATGCTTTTTTGGCTACTAAAAACGAACTCCGTAAACTGAGAAACTTAAGTTCACATAATTCTGCCTAGATTACAGCAGACCTGTTCTTTTCTGAGCTGCTACAAAGATGGAAAAATAGGATAAGTGTAGGCTAATGACTTTAGAGACAGAAGTGAAATAGAAGGTTTTCAAAAAACCTTCAAAAAAGGAATTATGACAAAAACTTTATGCAATCTTAAAAGCTTTCTAAAAACTTGCACTTACAAAGAAAACCTGAAACTACTTTTTACACATTGCCACATAACTACAAAACAGCCATTTAACAAAGGATCTCTTAGATCACATATGGTTGCTGACATTGCAATTTCTATGTATATGTACATTGATGTTATAAATATTACTTTTAAAAAGTTGTTTTTAAAAGCTCTTATTTTCTGGGTTGAACTCATTATTTTAGAATTGACAAACACAACATACCTTTTTAGAAAGGCCAAGGTCACCCTTCTTGGGCATAAATCCAGGATCTAAATCATTGGATTCAAGAAGTTTCTTAGTTGGTTTTCTTTGACGCTTACTTTCATAATTTCCTGAAATGTATGTATTTTTACATTAGATGATTAAGAAACTGGGCAAAGGTAATTTTTTAAAAATCTATATACCACACCAAATGAGTCACAAAATATTCTTGACGTTTTCCTCTTCATCTTATGGGGAAAGGCAGCATACTGTTTTATTTATTCTAAAATAAAACAAGTAAATCATTTTCAATGCAGATACAAACTAATACGAGGATGTTCCTATGTCAGTGTGTGTATATATGTATGTTTCTTCGTTTATTTATTTATTTGAGATGTCTTGCTCTGTCGCCCAAGCTGGTGTGCAGTGTTGCAATCACAGCTCACTGCAACCTCCAACTCCTGGACTAAAATAAGAGATCCTCCAACCTAAGCCTCTGGAGTAGCTAGGACTATAGGCATGTTCCACCACACCCAACTTATTTTAAAATTTTTCTGTAGAAACAGAGTCTCTATGTTCTTCAGACTATTCTTTTTTTTTTTTTTTGAGACAGAGTCTCACTCTGTTGCCTTGGCTAAGTGCCGTGGCATCAGCCAAGCTAACAGCAACCTCAAACTCCTGGGCTCAAGCAATCCTACTGCCTCAGCCTCCCTAGTAGCTGGGACTACAGACATGTGCCGCCATGCTCAGCTAATATATATATGTTTTAGTTGTCCAGCTAATTTCTTTCTTTTGTTTTAGTAGAGATACTGCTTAAAATACTGCTTGCTCTTGCTGGGGCTGGTCTCCAACTCCTGAGCTCAAATAATCCTCCTGCCTTCAGCCTCCCAGAGTGTTAGGATTACAGGTGTCAGCCACCGCAACTGGTCGCGTTTCTGTATTTTAAATTACAGAGTAACTAACGGAGAAGTCAAAAGGGCAAAACATCTTTTATTGCAACTAATAAGTGAGAAGGACAAAGTAAGGAGAAGTGAAGACTGGATTCTGGGTATAAATGAACCGGGATTATAATTTTTGCTCTGTTCCTCTGTAAATAAAAGTTGAATAAATAAAAAATACTTGTTTACTTTATCGGACTGCTCTTAAGAATTATATAAAAGAGAATTAATAAAAACCAGATAAATATACAATCAGTGTCCTTCTAAAATCTTTTTGGCATTTTTTTGTCCCCTTCCTTGACTCTCCCTTTGCTGTCATAAGAGGTACAGTTGTCATCTGTGGCATATGTATGATACTCTTATACACTATATCTTGCTCTATAATCCTTTCTCTCTTCAATAAACTTCATTTTCAGCTGGCCACGCGGTGGCTCATGCCTAGCATTCTAGAAGGCTGAGCCTGGCCTTTGAGCTCAGGAGTTCAAGACCAGCCCGAGGAAGAGCGAGACCCGTCTTCCACCAAAAATAGAAAAAATTAGCCGGGCATGGTGGCGCATGCCTATAGTCCCAGCTACTCGGGAGGCTGAGGCAGTAGGATTGCTTGAGCCCAGGAGTTTGAGGATGCTGTGAGCTAGGCTGATGCCATGGCACTCTAGCCGGGGCAACAGAGTGAGATTCTGTCTCAAAAAAACAAAATAAAATAAACTTCATTTTCATGCTTGCCAAAAAAAAGGTCTTTTTGATTCTCCCTTACTTGATTAAGCATAATTGGGATCTTTATTTTTAATGGAAGGAATAACATCCACAAACTGCTGTCAAAATGTTAAAAAGTTATATCCAAAAATTTAAAGGGGTCTTCCCATTCCTTGGCTGACTATAATATTCAATAGTAAAAAATGAATTCGAGACCATATGTCTAGACTCAACTATCCAAGGTGACATGTATGTAAGAATGATAAGTGAAAGCAACTAGTAATTAATTCTAGGAATATTTACATTTATTAGGTATGCACATTATACATTAATTATTAACATATGACTCATGAGGAAAAAAGTTCAAAGTTAAAACAACTTCCCAAGTAAATGGACTGGTGCAGTCAGGATGTGAAGCTTATTCCTCTAGTGTGCAGTGCCCATCCTTACATCTTGTTTTCCTGGTTGTAGATTTACATGGTAGCTGATGGACAATCATGAACAACAATGGACAATACAGTGGCTGTAAAATATAGTCTTCTTGACAGTGTGCCACATTTATGAGCACTATATCTACTTAATCAGCGTTTTAGGACTTTTCAGGACAAAAGTGGGTGGTTTAATATACCATACAATGTTGCTTTGCATCAAAATATTCTAAAATCTCCTGTTTGTTCTAATCATATCTGCTGAAATACTGAGACCATCCCCACCTTACCTGGTGTTTTAACTAGCAATTCCTCAGACTCAAGGGCAGGCCGTGGAGAGACTTCCGAGCCACAGGTACAGACAGGTCGCTTGGCAACTCAGCATGTCCACCTCCAAGTTCTGACTGACCAAGGCCCCTCAAAATGGAGCTCCTTCTCAAGACTGGGGCCTTTCTTTGGTTGAAATCAAGAATTCTCGTCCACCTGCTTGTTCTGAGCCATAGTTCGACATCTGGCTAGAAGGCTTTCCTCTTCGCAGCGGGAACTTACCTAAGAACAAAAAATAAAAATGGAACCCATGGACCAAAACTGTTACAACTTCAATGTCAAAAAAAATACAACTTTAAAAGGAAAGAAATTCTAACACATTGCACAACATGGATAAATCTTAAAGACATTATGATAAGGAATTATCCAAACACAAAGAATAAATATTGAGATGATTCTACTTATATTTAGGTATCTAGAATAAAAAATTCGTAAGACAGAAAATCAAATGATGTAGCCAGAGCTGGGGAAAGGAGTTTTGGTTAATAGGTACTGAGTTTCAGTTTAAGAAGATGAACGGTTCTGGAGATAGAAGGCAGTGATGATTGTATAAAAATGTACTAATATTTAATGCCACTACCACACAACGAAGAACAGTCAAGAGGTGCCTCTACGATTAAAAAATAAGAAGGAAAATAAAAAATTGGTAAATTTGTTATACATTATTTTACCCCAATTAAGAAAAAGAAAAATGCGGTTGACTGAGATACATTGAAGCATAAAATTCAATAAGTGCATAAAATAGTCTAAAAATGAAGAAAAGGCTCCCTAAAGTGTCACCAACTAGAATAACTACTTAATGAATTCTTACTGTCAAAATTGGTATTAATGGTTTCAGGACAGTAGGAGTTCACTAATGAAAGAGATTGTCAGCTATAAAATAGGAAGTAATAAAATCTGAAAAGTCTTCATTTGTAACCTCTATTGAATTACTGTTATCGGCAAATATCTCAATTGGTATTCTTAAAAAGCACCAGAGAAATGGCTGATGGGGAACTTGACATTCTTTTTGACACCAAGGGAGTTACATACATACGTTTTATTGCTTCTTGATCAAAGAGGGTAAAATAATCAATAAATAGTAGTTCTACTAACCTTTAACAAAACACAGAGAAAGGGTGCCATCTATGAGGAGGGACTCACATAAATCTCTTGCTATATAGACACAGTAATGAAACACATGGAGTGTTTCTAGATTAAAGAGACTTAAGAACCATAACAACCAGACATAATATGTAGTCTTAGACTGGATCCTAGTACGGATAAACCAAAGGTAAAAGGTAGGGTTAACTGGGAAATTTGCATATGGGCTGATATTTGATAAACTGATCTTACAAGATGGTAAAAATGTTAAACTGGTTATAATGAACTTTTCTTTATTTATAGGTGTATATTACCTTAGATAGAATGTCAAAATATCTGTAATTTACTTTATATTTATTTATTTGTTTTGTAAGAACAGGTCTCACTTCTTGTTACTGGAGCTAGGTGCTGTGGTGTCATCATAGCTCACAGCAACCTACAAACTCCTGGGCTCAAGCAATCCTCCTACCTCAGCTCCGAGTAGCTGGGATACAGACAAATGCCACCACGTCCACCTAATTTTCTATTTTTTGGAAGACACCAGGTCTCCTATGTTGCTCAGGCTGGTCTCAAACTCCCGAATTCACGTGATCCTCCTGATTCGCCTTCCCAAAGTGCTAGGATGTACAGAAGTAAGCCAACTGTGCCCAGCCATCTGATTACTTAAATACTTCAGTTTAAAGAAACTGAATAAAAAAATAAACAAGTAATATATTTATTTTTAATAGAACTTATTTTTTATTTATCCTGTTTTTCACTTTTCATATAACAATATTTCTAAGTCATTAAATACTCTTAAGAAAACAGAGGGAAAACATATATACAAAGACATACACTATAACACTCATTAATTCTGAGTAAGCATTATATAGGGGTACTGTGCTAGAGCTAATGATAAAACTGAAAATCAAGATCTCAGATATTTTGTTTCATGAGAATGAAAATATGATATGGAAGGGATTGCAAATTTCCTAAGAGGACCAGTGAAGATTATTGAAATGCTGGAACATACCTTGTTGCACCTGCTCCTGTACCTTCCTTTTGTTTTTCTTGGGAGCAAATATCTGATCATATTCTTCTGTATATTCCAGAAGCCACTTGCTGGCTTCCTAAGGCTTTCTTCTCTGACCGCACAGCTACAGAGATAAACAAGTTGAGTATTAACCAAAAAGCTAGAGGAAAACCGAAGGTTTTATGAACCATCTCTACACTCCCAAAGGTACCCAGAAGGGAAACCACCTAGCAAAAGGACTCTGGCTTAATATGCAAGAGCTCAACATGATTTGCTATGTTATCACATGCAAAAGGAGGGCTGGGTTGTACAAAGGACTTTTGTGCACACCCATCACAAATCCCCATATACATGGTCGAGGAAAGGTTAAATTGAAAGTATTGTCTATGGAATTGACACCAATACAAATAGAGCTAAATATACTAACATAAACAGAATCTAAATCAGGTAAATTGTAAAATATACTGTGAGTTATAGGGTAATATGCCTTATCCAAAATGCTTGGATCAGAAGTGTTCAGATTTTGGAATATTGTTGTGTGGTGTGCGTTTTATGTATGTGTGTATATATTATATATATAGTGAATACATCTTGGGCTAGGACTCAAGTCTAACCTTGAAATTAATTTATATATCATATAAACTCACATA